AACACGAGAATGTACAGCAAGGTTGCTTGCAAAATACGAAAGCTTAACAATTAGCAAGATGATAACCAGATTTTCATGAAGAATTAAAACATAAAAAGCATTGATCAAAGAAAAATGTTTTCTCAAAAGATGTAATTTGATTAAAACAGAAGAGGGGTATTTTTACGAAGGTGGATTGTCTGCCCTTCCATTTCCATACTCTCCCTATGCCCTTCTGTTTGTATGGCCACGGTTAAGCCACGTCAACATTTTATATTTCTTTTACTTTTTATTTTATTATTTCTATAAAATATTGACGTAACTTAACCATGAACACACATTACAGAAAGCATGAGGAGAGTATAAAAATAAGAGGGCCGACAATCCATCTCCAACTTTTACTTTGCTTTCGCAATAATAAACTTTTGTCCTTTTTCGCTTACCTTGACAATCATTTTTTACAGGTGTGTCATGACATCGATGATCACACTCAAACTTGAAACTATTTTCCTTTATTAAGTGGGGCCAGCCCATCGTATAGCAAGCATGATTGATAATTTATCCCTAGTTTAGCCCGTTCTTGGAGCTTGGCTGAAGTTATCTCCAATCCAAAACATAAAAGTTAACTTGAATATTCGTCATTTGAATCCAACACGTGAAAACTCTGTCTACTCACTGAAACTACAAAGTAGTCTTTAAAATTGCAAATGCTGGAAAACTAAAGGGATAAAACTACTTATATGGAAAGCATGGACCAATTTCCATAAACTATAAGAAAGTTAGAAACCTAAATCCTTACCATATACACAATATGTCTGCGCACTTATACATCTGTGTATATGTATACTTCAGGCCCCAAAATGGGAGGAATAGGGCTTAAAATAAAATTTTCTCCATATAAGCAGGTGGCTTAAAATAATTATAAACAACTTATGTGGCCTTAAAATAAATCAATAAACAAACGTGGGGTGGGGGTTAAAAGCCTCTACTTTTTCTTGGGTTTTATTGTACGTTGACCGTTAGTTTCTGATTGGTTGCCAAACCATATCGCCGGTGAGGCAATCGTGGCAAGATCCTATTGAAGCAACAGAGATAAGGAGAATCCACATTGGATTTCATTCATTCCGTGTCAGAATGTTGGTGTCACTTTATTACTGTTCCTTTCAATCCTATGCTTTCCATGTGTTATTTGTAGTTAATGGCTGAATCTGAATCAAAGCAGAAGTACAAACAACCTGGGACTTTGTCCCCCTATCAAAACCTCTGCAAATAAAACCTTGTAAAACCCAGTTGGGAGTTTGGACTGTTGGAGGTATGTAAAACTACCCTTTTGATATTTTCTGTTTTGTTCAATAAAGTTGGTATTTTTGAGTAACTTCTGTTTGGTTGCTGAGAAAATAACTGAAATTCCCAAGAAAAAGTCTCCTTATTTGTATTGCATTTGAAGAGAATTATGGTTTCTAGATTAAAAGCTTGTTTTTGGTAACCATGGAGAATATGGGTTGGTTATAAATGGAAATTGTTTTCATAATTAACCAGGCAAACCATCTTAAGCTTTTGTGTTTTGTAAAGTTTGCCCTTCCGTTTGGTTGCTGAGAAAATAACTGCCAACTAACAAGAAAAAGTCTCATGCTTTAGTATTGTACTTGTAAAAGAATTTGCTCTCTAGTGTCTAAAGCAAATGCAACCACGTGTTTTCAGTAGTAGCTTTTACTTCCTCACATTTTTTTCTTCAAGAGATTCTTGCATGTAAACGCACTGATTTCACGTGACGAGTGAGATAGAGAGCAGAAATAAACCACTGGTTATCGCTATTGTTGCACATATTGGAGTTAGTTAATGCATGACACCCTTTTTGTTGTTTGGTTTCTTTCGTTTCCAGGAACAAATGGCTGTGGCTCCGATATGCTACAAAATGCCATACAAAGGCTATGCTCAATCGAATCACTACGTAATCGGACAAAGGGACAGCAAATTTCGATGTGATTATATTCCGACTTCTGCAAATACTGCTAGAGAACATAAGAATCTAGGGATGGTTTGGTATGCTGCACCAGATTCCGGTGCGAATGGGGAGCATCTGAGATCCTTGGATTCTTACTTTGGGAAGCTCCAAAATGTCACGAATCTGCCTCTGGATAATTCAAACAAGACAAGGGAGCAGCCATTCAGTAAAAATAGTGATCAGCTGAGATTAAAGAAGGGTTTGGAGTCTCTTGATGATTTTCTTGGAAAACTTAATAAGAAAGGTAAAACTATCTTCCAGCTGAGTAGCCTTTATGTGTTGGGTTTAGAAATGACATTCTAATTCTTATAGTTTTTATTGACTCAGGTGGAGACTCGGCGAATTCGACATCTAGCAATGTTGATCTTACTGCTGAAGAAATTCCAATTGCGAAACCATCAGCTATCAATCGAGATTCTGGAACAGGTGATAAGAGGGTACTGAAGACATATAGGAATCCTATAAGTAAAAGGGAAGATCTTGGTCGAGAGAATTCTCAAGATCCGCTCGAGTATAATGAAATCTCTGATCTCTACTTAATGTAAGACCCAGCTCTATCTAAATTAGTACTCAGAAATACGCCCCGATGAAACTGGTTAAGAACTTTTAATAAAAAATAGAATTAGGGGCATTAAACAGACCCATAAGTCTGTATATAAACCGCAGTTTAATGTCCTTCCAGTTCTATTTTCGATTAAAAGTTTGTGACCGTATAGTATTGGGAACTGCAAAAGCCAGGTTAAATCTGTGAACTCCTCAGGAATAAGGACATTTTGCTTCTTTGTTCTTTGTGTTGGCTGCAGAAGCATATTGGGTTCTGTAAACATTGCAGTGTTTCTGTTTGAGATTGCGAGTCCGGTTAGGAACACTGACTTAGGGCTCTTCTCTCTTCCATTACTATATGGAGCAAAGATAAATGATTTGATCCTGGTTGGGGAATGGTGGAGGCTAGTCACACCCATGTTTCTGGTACAAGACTGACGATTCGGTTCGTGATTCCATTCTGTTTCCATTTCAGCATTATCTGTGATAGTTTGGATTAGCTATTTAACCATTGGATTTGAATGTGAACATATCATAGAATTATAGGGCATTTGCACATTACTAGAGATTTATTCGGCCTTTACATTTTTCCGGTATTTAAACATCGTTCTTTCCCCGATTCATTTGAAGAGATAATGGAAAAAGTCTGAAATGACATGATGCATGAAACGGTTCAATTTGTTGGTTCTTAGTATAATGCAGCACATATATGCTTTCTGGTTTATGAAATATCTGCAAGATCCGCCTCACAATTTGTATGGATTAAACAAAATAATTGGAATTCCTAAAAGCGATACGTTCTTGAAGAGCATTACGCATATTATTCTTGCTGATCTACGAATAGCTCTTAGCTCATGTAACTTAATGCAGCACTCAGGACTTTTCCACATAGCTGTTGGTTGCTGGGGACTTGTTGCATTTGGGCCTAAAGTGTGCAGAGGCTACGGATCATTCACATTTTTCTTGATTTACATACTTGGAGGAGTCTCCGGCAACTTGATTAGCTTTCTTCATACACCAGAGCCAACTGTTGGCGGAACGGTACGCAGCTCAGCTCCTAAAATTACATTTCATGTTCTATGAATCTTGTTACCCTTTTGTCTCCTCTTCCGAACATGTTTGAGTTCGTAATGTGATCGCAGGGACCAATATTTGCTATGATCGGAGCTTGGCTCGCTTATCAGGTCCAAAACAAGGCCATAATTGCAAAGGACGTTTCGGAGAGTATGTTCCAAAAGGCTGTCATAACCACGCTTCTTAGCTTCGTGTTGAGCATTTTCGGTCCTATTGATGATTGGTAAGCTACCGGACGCATTCTCAAAATTCAAGATACATATTCGTTTTTTCATCTTCATACTCGAAAACGAAACGAGACGGTAAGTGACCGTATGTCATATTATGTTGTTCTAGGACACATTTTGGAGCAGCATTTACAGGAGTGGCATATGGTTTTTTGACATGCCCAACCCTTCAACTGGACGATGCATCATCTTCTCCAACGAGTGGGCAAGAGGAAGGAATCGCACTTGTTAGACGATCTGCAGATCCTTGCAAATCACTGTTTTTCTTTGCCCTATTTGTTCTTGTATTAAGCTCTATACTTTTCTTTGTTGATCCTCCTCTCCATGTCATAGCATCAGATACTTCTCTTTAAAACTTCAACAAGGATGCAATTTTCAATTCTACAACATAATTAGCTTATTTGTGAATTGTAATCCTTCAGTTTTGTGTTTCTAGTATTTATCATGCAATGACATAGATTGTGAGACTTATGCCTATGAAGAGTAAAGAGAAACTTCGGTAAAGTTATGTGACTAGAGCTCCTCTTACATCGGGTGGAACAAGTGTGAGGCTGAATTTGACTTAATATAAGAGTCTCATCCTTTTGTGAGAGACAAATACGGAGCCAGCCTTAAACTTTGGGGCGGGCTGTGACCTTGTGCTAGGGGTAGGTTAGGATGGGAGGGCTATAGGACACGTATGCCTCACAGTGCTCCATTTTGAAAGTACCATAAAAATGACGTGATCAAACACTTTTAATTAAATTTTTCTTTCTAAAAATATTATGTAATTGTGTGCTCAGTCGTTCATGCACATGAATAATTATTACTGCACATGCACACATAACACACAATACATAAGTCGAAATTCATTCGCACGCACCGAACATAGTATCCCTTTGATTCTTGGAACACGTTGGCCAACAAACTAACTTTAATTAAACGAACTCCCGTCAGCCTACATGTGATCCAAGTGACTTTGTTCTAACATGGCTCCCAAGTCCAAACTACAATTTCTTTTGTTTTGTTTTTTTCAGACCGAATCCTTCATGCATGGTTTGTCTCCACGTTAAGGGCACCAGGCCCTTGCTGCTGACACGTTTGCAGTTGGGTTCCTTACAACAAACCACGTAACAGACACAGCTTTCTGTCCTCTTCTTCCATCAACTTTGAACTTCTCTGAGTCACTCAGGCTGTGTACTTTTGAGATTGGAGTTTAAAAAGTGTATATAGTTTGAGAACTAAAAATTTAAGTGTTGCAGCTTGAGCTTTTGAAGCTTTAATATCAATGGCGGTCGGAAGGACTGGTAGAGGTTTAATGGCTCCTCTTCTGGTAGTCAACTTGGTGGTCCATCTGATCATGCTTGGACTTGCTGGTTGGTCCCTTGATAAGTACATCAATGGAGAGCAAAATCACCCCCGTAAGCGCGCTCTCTCTCTCTCTCTCTCTCTCTCTCTCTCTCTCTCTCTCTATATATATCATTGTAATGACAGCAATTTCGAAGGAAAATATGCACAAATAGAACCGACTATACAAACTTTTAAGCAAAATAATAGTGGGAGACACTACACATACAATAAACTGTTCATAAATCACCGTTTAGTCCCTTGGTTTATTCTCTGTCTAATATTTCTCTGGTCATCGATGTGCGTTAGGTCAATTGATCGTCCTGTATAGTTTATTGACCATTTAGTATCCTCTAATACTCGATCTGGGTTGAGTCAGTTGATTATCGGTGTAGTACTCCAAATACTCAATGTGTGGGTTAAGTCATTTGATCGCATTGTATATGTTTTATTGTCGGTGTAGTACCCCAAATACTCTGATGTGTAGGTTATTAGCTCAGTTGATCAGAGAAGTGTGGGAGTCATGTGCACCTAGTATGATTACTTTTGGAATAGATGAGAGTAGTTGAGAATACTATGGTCGAAAGAGGGCTTCGGACTCTGATACTTTTGTGCAGATTTGGGAGGGAATACATCGACTAGCTTCTTGTTGATCTTCGCATTGATAGCCGGTGTGGTTGGGGCTGCTTCTGTGCTTTATGGTCTGATACATCTCCGGATATGGCGAACCGATAGTTTAGCCGGTGCAGCTTCTTCAGCTATCATAGCCCTGACGATTATCGCCCTCACTTTCGGGTAGTTTTCTCTCCCCTCTCCACACCAAAATTAACAACAAATGGGTTTACATTTTCATAACAAAAAATTAAGAAATTAATCAGGTTTGGTTGATGTGATTTGATGCAGTTTTGTGTGCAAGGAGATCATTCTTGGAGGGCACAGAGGAAAACGCTTGGTAAGAGAATTTTAAGCAAACATTGCTGTTTGATGAAGTACAATTAAATTAATTAAACTAGATTATCTTGATTAATTGGTGTTTTTCAGCAAACATTGGAAGCTATGATTGCAATATCACTACTAAGTCAATTGCTTTACCTGGTGCTTCTGCATGCTGGGATGTTTAGGAGCAGACATAGACATGGAGGAATTGGCACGGGTCATGACCCCTGGAGCACCGGCACGACGACTGTGATCTGACTTCCGTTCATATCAGTAGCTGTAAGTTAAATAACACAATGTCTCTGCTTTATTTGCTGCGCTCTGTTTGTATCGGTTTTTTTCTGGTTACTTTGGAGGGAATGGAACGCTGGACATATCCTACTCCTGATCCGAGCTAGAATGAATGGTTTAGCATTAATAGTACATTCCCAAGGGGATTCCTTTCCTGCTCTTTCCGGCCAAACAGAGCTATTGCTCCACCCATCCCTCACCGCCCCCTCCGGGCTCGGTAGGGCTTATGTTTGGAGGAGATTCGGTATACAATGATTTTGCTTGAATGTTCATTGCACATTTTGATTGCCTGAGCAACTATAGAGACTAACCTATAAATCCAGCTAACTCAAAAACCCGAAATCGGAACAATAAGAACAAAAATATTAAATTATGTTGCTATTTGAACTAAAATAACAGAGTTATACATAACCAACATCAATTATTCGAGCTACCGGAAAATTTTTCGACATAACTTCTATGATTCTGATTCATCATCAGCTTTCCATTCTACGATTGCCAACGTATGGCGTCCTCCGCAAGCAACGAGTTTGGCAATCCAATGTCCATTGTCCGCAGTGCCATGTCTGGGAGGGATGCCGATGGGAACTTCCATCGGCTGACCAGTCGTCACCTTCCTTCCATATCCAAGGCGTCCGTGGTCGCCTCGGCCAAACTGCCGATAGAAGGAAGAGTCGTCGGAGTAAACAAAATGGTGGAACCAGATGTGATGTGAAAGAAAACTCAAAATATTGGAAGATCAGAGCAAGATTATTCCAATGCGTTTGCAGATTTAAAAATTCTTACCGAATACATTCGCCCATCACGAGTTAATGCAACAGAGTGAGTGCCTCCACAAGAAACCTACATTCACAAATAAACACGATCCGTCTCAAACTGTCGCAAGGAAATGAACTATTCTGAGCGTGCAGGATTTTTGAGCAGTCGATGAAAGAAATGGTACCTGAACAATATCCTCCCCGGCTAAAAGCTGAACCCTTTGCGGCACCATTTTGCTGCTCTTATCATTATCGCCAAACCCAAGCCTGCCATGTTCTCCTCGTCCCCAACCATACACCTGCAATGAGATGAAAAGGTGGAAGAGGTAAGGTTCTCTCACAAACTCAAATGCAGATGTTACAACGTTAGCAATACCGGAATATTGAGCTATAGCACATTGCTCTCAGATGGTTATTGTGATGAACTCGAAACGCCACTTGAGCGGTAGCCCGTGGAGTAAGAAGGGAGGGAGAGAGTACTCACCTCTCCATCTTCTGTTAGTGCAGTAGAATGCCATCCTCCAGCAGCTATATCCACCTATAGACGCACATAGGTTTAAAATACACACATTATAAACATACGGCGAACCATATAGTTGCAAGCATTCGACTACGAAGGCATGAAACCTACGGACTATCACATAATAATCTTCCAGGATAGACAACAATAACAAAATCAGGACAAGCAAGTGAAATTTGCCGAACAAGAATTGGTGTAAGCGACCATGGCACCAATCTCTGCCTAACAACAATAGGCGTAAACGATATAAAATCGATTTTATCGACAGATACTTTGTCAGGGCTTCACACTATGAGAAATGAGACAACAGATACACGGAAATGTGATACAAACCAAAGTAAGATCAGAAAGCCCTTGGACAGGAATAGGTTGTGATCTCGGCTGAGTATCCCCTGTTCCAAGTTGTCCATATTCGTTGTTACCCCAAGCCCATAAGGCACCATCCTCTTGCAGAGCCAAATTATGAAATGCCCCTACTGCAATGAGCCTCACTGCATCAAGACCTTGTACTCGCACAGGTGTTGAAATTTGTTTTCTGAAAATTAAAAGAAACGTTCACGGATGATTTATGAAAAGGTAGGCTTCTGTAAAAGATAGATACTTGAAAAGGAATTGACAGTCAGGTCTAAGGGCAACATACATGTCTCCCGGAGGCCATGGCTGACCCCACGTCCAGACTTGCCCGTCGCGTGTAAGTACCACAGAGTGAGTACCACCAGCAGCTACCTGTGATGTGAAAAACTATAACATGTCAAATACAGTTTTGTAGAAAGAGATGTCATTTGAGAAACAAAAGCATCCTACACCTGAAAAATTCCTATCATGCAGTTCAATGTTCTGCACATGGGCATGGGGTACCGACCTGGCGAACTTTAAGTTTCGGTGCACAGCGTTGAGGAATCACTATATCCCTTCTCAAAGGTCTACCAGTGTCATCTTTCCGCTCTGGTTCCTCGCCACACTGTCCATACTCATTTCCACCTGCACGAAACAACTTTCGTACTCTTAGACTGACCAAAATAACATCTGGGTCACTCGCCAATCGCAAAAAAACCAAGAAACCAATCAAAACCTTTACTTGGAAGTAAAGGACTAAGACTTGAGGATGGTTTTAAACATGAATCAGAAGCAACCATGTTTCGGTATATGGCTTAACTGACTTGAAGGAATTACATTCTTTCTTCTATTGGATTCTAAATAATGAAAACAAGAGAACCCAATGTAACGAAATAGCTTTTCATCCAAATATTCATTACAATTTAAGAGTTTGGATTCTAAATAATGAAAACAAGAGAACCCAATGTAACGAAATAGTTTTTCATCCAAATATTCATTACAATTTAAGAGTAAAAGAATGCGTGATTAAATACCCCAGGCGTAAGCGCGGCCTTGATCATCAACAGCCAAACAATGCCATCCACCAATAGCAGCCTATATTTCAAACAACCTCTAGTTAAAACGAAAATTATAACGCTAGCTAACAATTTCCAAAGAAAGTAGGATTTCTGAGTATAATCGGAAATTACCTGAACAATTTTGACATTGGCCAGAGCTTTAACCTGGCTTGGAATGTTCTCAGTTTTGGTCTCAGGAGGATGCCCCAGGGTTCCTCTCTGGTTCCAACCCCATGTAAACAACTGGTAACCCAATTCAATTCACAACCCAAAACTTTTAGCAAACCAAAAATTCAACAAAAATCAAAATTTTCAGAAAACCCAAAGCCAAAAGTCCAAACTTTCAGTAAACCCAAAACAAATAATTCAACAAATATCCATACTTTCAGTAAAATCCAAAACCAAAAGTTAAAAATTAAAAATCCACCTTTGAATAAAACCCAAAACCAACAATCTAACAAAAATGCAAAAAACACACAAACAAGTGAAGAAGAGGGGCAGTAATCAAAACAGTGAATAGAGTGATAAAAAGACAAAATGAAGAAGAAGAAGAAGAAGAAGAAGAAGAAAAAAGGGGCCCACCTTGCCATCATCGCAAATGGCGAGGGAGTTTCGGCTGCCAGCGACAACAGAGCGGACAGTCTGCGACTCGAGGGCTTTGACGGCGCACACCCATTCCTTCTCCTCGTTATTCCCGATTCCTAATTGGCCGTCTTCCCCAGAGCCCCTGCGCACAAAAACAAACAGAATGAACGAAACGTGCTTTACTTTCTCTCTCTAATAGTGAAGAAAGAGAGCAAATACCAAGTGACAATGGTGGTATCGGATGCCATTTGAGCCTGAATCAGAGCTTGAATTGAAGATATGGACGATGAGCTAAAAAGCTAGCAGAGAGGGAGAGGAGAGTGACTCTGTTTATATCGCGCGCGCGTGTGTGTAGACAGATGCAATTTGTGCAGGGAACCAGATACCGAAAATGCGATAGAGATGGGGAAGAGGGGAAAACGCGGCGTTTTACTTGACCAGTGGAGAAAAAATTGGCGGCGCTAGGTTGGGAAATTTTATATAAACCCTACAATTATCTTGAGAGAGTTTTAACAAAAAACTCACGGTACTGTTTACTTTAATGAAAAATTATATTTTTATCTTAAAATATCAATCATGATACTATTCACTTTACCCTTTATTTTGTCCTTACCATTAAAACTCAAAGTTTTCAAGTCTTTTCATTAGACTTAATCAAACTTAAAATTATCTTTTAATGTTATTCCGATTGATAAGCAGTCCGATGAACACCCTTTTGGACTTAATCAATTTATACTGACGAGTACATCTCAAATCTTTAGATTTTGTCTAGAGGCAGAGGGAGGATAATTCATATCATCAAATGAAGATAATATGGTTCAATATTCAATCCAGCAGTAGAATTGGTGTAAAACCTAGCTTCAACCAGGCTATGCCCCAACGAATCAAGCATTACCAATGGGGGCTTTATCCTTCATGATATTACTATATTTGCCTTAATGAGAAATTTCATCCCCAATGACCAGAAAATAGGCCTAGCTCCACTATTGGAGCTAACAACTTCCTTCCTTAAGTAGCATAAAATTAGATTACATCTAACCCAAAAAAATAGTGGGTCCTACAAAAAAAGTAGCAACTTATGTGAGCAAAAATCTATTACTCTTCCTCTATTTGCGAATACACTTATACTCTCCTTTATTCTTTTTTCTTACATATTTTTCTTGCAATTTGGCTAAATCATGATTGTTTTAAATTCCGTAAGAATTAAAATTTCAAATTGATTTAACATTCATGGGCATTAGTGGGTGAAATTTTTAGATAATTTTTTCAAAATTATATTATGCTAATTTACCAATTGGTGATAGGTAAATTGTTGTGTTGTACGTGAAAATCAAATTCTTTTAGTGTGGGTTAATTGTTGCCGCCATGGTATAGCCGAGTTGAGTTTTATCGGATGGGTGGGTTAATTGTGAGTTTTGCTTTTAGTTCTCAAACTACGAGCGCGAACTTTTTTTAGGGACAAGGTATAAATTTTATGTGACAAATTTCAAAGTTGGATGTAAAGAGAGATTTAACTTGGATTTTATGCATCAAATAAAATTTCTTCAGTAATTTTTCTATCATTTAAATTTTTTTTTTATTTTGCTTGACCAGTAAATTTTAGAATGTCTATCAACTAATGGAAAATTAAAGAAAAACTAAAAAAGAAATATGCTCTAATATAGTCCCAATTATGCTCTAATGGAAAATTAAAGAAAATCTAAATATATACATATATATATATATATATATATATATATATGCTCATGACCTTTCTCTTTCCTAGTCAGTTGAATTCTACAAAGGTGGATTGTCTGTCCTCCCATTTCCATACTCTAATCATGCCCTCTTTGTGATGTATGGTTACGATTAAGCAACGTCAATATTTTACATTAATTTTTATAGAAATAATAAAAGAAAATGTACTAGGAATATAAAATATTGACGTGGCTTAACCGTGACCACACAAATAGAAGGACATGAAAAGAGTATGAAAATGGAATGATAGACAATTCACCTCCAAATTCTACAAGCTATAAATACAAAAGAAATAGATAAAGGAGAGCAAGGAAAATAACTAGGCACCACATGGACACAAGGACTAGGCACCACGTCAATATGGGTCCACTTGAATAACTAGGCACAACATTTTAAATTTTCTGTTAGAACTCTTGTTAACTGATAACCGCACCACATGTCAATAGGGGCTCACTTGAATGTTAAATTTTTTTTATCATTTGATCATCTTTAATTCATTCAATTTGACAATCGAAAATTGAGAAAAATGTGTAAGAAGAAAAAAACAGTGTTTCGATAGCTCCACCCTTTTGTAAAAGCGCACCAACAATCAATTCTAATCTTCCAATGAACAACGGAGGTACCACATTCTAATTGAAAGAAGCAAAAAGAATACAAGCTACATAATGTTATATCTGGTAAAAAGAACACAAGCCATTGGAAATCTCAAAGAAACATTAAAAACCACTATTTTTTGACACTAAATCATATAGCACAGCATTAAAATCTCACCAAATTATAAAACGCAATTTTGCAATCTGTTGGAACATTTCAACCCTAAGCGCTGCCGCACTCAAGATCGTCAAGTTCATAGACAAATCATTCTACAACCCACATGCCATCTATTACAAAGGTCCCAAGATAAAAGGGGTACAGGGTACAAATTCTATGAACCAGAAGACCTGTTACTGTGCTTCACTTGATTCGCGCTTTGATGCTTCCTTGATTTCGTCTCCGGCATCATCCTAAACCACCAGATAAACAATTAAATTTAGTTTACCAAAGTTCAAATACTGATGCGGAACTTAATCATCAAACAGCACTGGATATATACTGAATTGCAATGATTGGTTGCATAATCGGTATCACTATAATAATGCATCCCGATCTCAAGAGTCAAGACCCCCTTTTCGGTCATATGTGTACATGCATCACAAGGGAAAGAGGATGAGAGAGATACCGTGATATCAGAAGTCCAGAGTGTCAGATTGTCTCGGAGAAGCTGCATGATCAAAGTGCTATCCTTGTAGGATTCCTCACCCAATGTGTCAAGCTCAGAAATAGCCTCATCAAAAGCCTGTGGGAAGAAGTATCGAAATTGAGTTAAAAAGAATACACTAAACATCCAATTCTCAAGTTTATTTAAAAACTGCAGTCGACAAAGAAACATGCACTCAGCCATAAGCGAGAAAAAGAATCATTTACAAATGCTTGTTTAGTTCATTTAACAACCAAGTGTTAGAAAGCAAAACACATACCAAATTCATGCCAAGAGATACAAGAATGGTTAAACAGCCCCTAAATAAGAAATGTATAACTCATATACAGATTCTGCAGCACGAATTGCTAATTTGAAACGTGTTACATAACAGCAAAGACTCAAAAGTTCACTGTCCAGATTGTAGATTCACTAAAGGTCCAATCTTATCTAAATTATCCGAGCATATTTCACCAATCAATACTCCAAGAGTAATGAACAGAACCAAATATGATGGCTGGTATTCTTGAAATTGGAGAGAGCTCATTTCTTCTAGTAAATGTAGTCGAAGCAATTAAGTACAAGGCTTTTTAAAATTTTGACCCAAGAAGTAGAAATTATTCGGGAAAGAAGTCTCGAATCTCCAGAGAAGTATCAAAGTGAGTGATTAAAGGATGAGATGCCATTTCTCATATGACATGTGGCATAACCAGATAAACCAAAAAGAGAAGTAGTTCTTATTTCATTTATAAACCAAAGAACACTCTCAAAGAAATTTGCAACTAAATGTCTGGAAAAGAATTTCTCATCAAGCATGTAAATTCCAGGCACACTAAAGCCAGGTGCAATAAAGGCAAACATAGTGACCTAATAAATTCATAAAGAAACGTAAAAAGCAGGGAAGGAGAATAACAATGAATATAGGTTATGTATTTTCAGTGAATATCTACAACTGTATATTAAATTTACACAATAAATACCACTGGATAATTTAGTCACACAGACTAGAATATGCACAAGTACAGACGACAAAAGGCCTTGCATACAAACCTGTTTTGCCAGATTGCAAGCACGATCAGGGTGAATTAAGGATTTCATAGTAGAAGACTGAGAAGTTGAGTGCAAGTCCAAGCCTTATTGGGTGGGTTGGAGCCAGCTCAGCAAGGGCAATGTCCTGCAATCAAACAAAACAAAACAAAACATGCTTAAGGATCACTACAAAAAATAAAAGCACAATTAGAAAACTAAAAATGGCAGAATGGCAAGCTGAAAACCAACCTGAGCAGACTTGTAAGCCAACAAAGTGCTCTCAGCTGCTTCCTTTCTCTCGCCTCCAGTCTTAAACTCTGCAAGGTACCTGTGGTAGTCACCTTTCATCTTGAGGTAAAACACCTTCGACTCGGCAGGAAGAGGCAGATGGAATGAGGTGCGACTCAAGAAGGTTCAAGATCCCATCACAGATCTTGCTGAGCTCAGTCTCGATCTTGCTCCTGTATTCCTTGATAATCACAACATGATCCTCATTCCCTCTGCTCTCCTCCTTCTGCTCAATGGAAGATATGATCCTCCATGAAGCTCTCCTAGCTCCAATCACATTCTTATAAGCCACAGAGAGGAGGTTTCTTTCCTCCACTGTTAGCTCCTCGACATCAACAGTCTTGGCAACTTTCTCCATAAACTCAACCATCTCCTCATATCTCTCAGCCTGTTCGGCCAACTTGGCCATGTACACATTCTCCTCACGTGAAGAATCAGTTGGCGGCATCTTTGCTATGTACGTCTAAATCTGAAACCTGGCAATTAATCCAACAAACGACAGTTTAAGTCGGTGATCTCTATTCACAGACGCATATACTCGCATACAAGTAAATCACGATACACAGAACAACATCGTAGCACAAATCAAATTAGTTACACACAAAACTAGCACGCAAGTGATAAACAAACTATCAAACATTTACTCAGATCTGAACATAGTTGAACTAACAACAGATGTGAAAAAACATGCTAATTCTATAAAATCCTATAAGAAACCAAGTAAAAATGCTAATTTCAGACATTTACATGAATTTTCTCAGCAAACAAACAGATCAGGATCCTGATTCAGTTATCACAAAAACAGATTAGAGCAATAATTCTCACTCCCAACTTACCCAACAGTAATCCCCAAGCTTTTAACTTTAGTCAAACCAGAAAAAGCCCCCAATTTCCTATCCCCTTTTCAAAAAACTCAAATCTTTTTTAATCATTGAAAAAACACTTCCACTTCCCAGCAACCAAACAAGTCACAAATCGAAATCTAATCGATCCAACACTCAAATCAACTACCAAACAGCTTAAATCAAATCAGATCCAGTCAAAAAAACATAAAGTCAACAACTTTTTTTTTTCCCAAAAAATAAAAGATATCAAAACCCTAGATAACAGATAAGCAATCATCACACGCAAACAGTAGATCAACAACAAAAAATTAAAATTGAAATCAAATCAGGAAAAATCAAACCCCAAGCTAACCCTAGTTCTTGAGAAGTTGGGGGCGTCCATACCTTCTCTGGTCCACGATGAAGAAGAAGATCTAGCTTGGAGTAAAATTGGGGGAAATGGAAATCCGGGTGGGGGGCTTAAAAATGGTCGCCACGAGGAAAAAGGGGTAGGGAGGTAGGCCCAATGGGAACGTGACACGTAGTGGGTGGCGGAGATTGCGTAGGTAATTTTTTTGGGAGTGGAGGAGACGCCACGCTGGCGTTGACGGTCAACGAACTCCTTCCTTACCCTTTTGGGTTGTCGACTTGTCGTTTGGTATTATTGCTGCTGCCTGCCGTGCGTTGTAAGCTGCGGATGTTTGGCCTCGTGGGGACGGACGGACGGACGGCCGGAATTGACGGTGTCAAAATCGACATAATTAAGGCCGTGCGACAAGAATCACGCTGTGCTGACGGTGTTTTTGTTTTTCCGTTAAGTAAACAATGTTCAAAATTTGGCATTTGGTGAATAGCACATTCATGATTAATTGTGTGATGTGTGTTAGTAACATTCATCAAATTCAGTATAAATATAATACGTCTTCGTTATTTATGTTTCGATTTGAAACATTTCACTTACAAGTTAAAAGAAATATCACTAAGTCATAGTATTTGTGCGTGTTAGATTATTTAAGTCAAATTTATGAACAACATATACAAGGTATCGTAAAGATGGAGCACATCTCATCATTGGACCCAACAAGTAGATAACATGTCATGGTACCAAGAAAGAATTTCATATTCTGCCATAAAATCAATTAGCATCAAAAGAGTGCTCAACTCATTATAAGCTATTGCAATGTTTTGTAATTTCTCTAATATAGATTCACACTTCCTAATGTTTATTTTTATAAACTATTGCAATATTTTGTAATCACCATGAAAAACTCACACTTCTTTATTTTATAAATCCTTGCAACCTCTCTATTGTATTTACACTTTTAGCATTGATTTTCTATTTCTTATTTCGAACCTGAGACGCATGATCATATATGTTTTAACTTAAATGAAATAAAATAAGTAAAGTTTTAACGAAACATTCCCACTACTTTTAACAAAAAATCACATGTTTATCTTTCCTTGGTACTATTCACTACACCTTTATTTGTTTTTTTTTGTTTTCATTAAAACTAAATTTTTTTCAACTTTTTTTTAGTTTTCCTTAAAATAAAAGGTAGAAAAATATTGAATGGATAACCACACTTACTTGAACAACCGTAAAGACTTGAGAAGATACGAGTCGAGGAAACCAATCAAAGCAAAAGAGGGAAAGTGTGTTTGTTGTGTCTTTTTCATCAACCATAATTCGAAAGGTTAGGGATCAATCATGGGTCATTTAATCCCAAACACTGACTTGACTAGTCCCAAACACAACTGCCCCCTTGCTTGTCCTAAATGATGTTTGGAAAATATAAGGATAAATATTAATCCTTGGCATGTCCCATAGTAAGTGCCACGTGCATGTATAATGACTGTTGAACAAGACTGCAATTGATTGAAACAATAACGTTATGGTTCAACAAAATGGAACAGTTTGGAATTTGGAGAAAGACCTTGGTATGAGTGCCCGATCACGTTATTTGTATGAAAAGTAATGTTATATTTATTATATTTTTCATACTATACTGTACTACTTTTCTAATAGAGGTAGTCCCATCAACATATGTGTGTCGTATCTCTATTAGAGAGGTAGTATGATGTGATATAAAAAATATGGTAAGAGTAGTGTTTTTATTGTATGAAGCCTGTTATAAAAGTATGAAACTTTCCTGTATTTTGATTCCATCCGACACCATGCGGTCTCATTCATGGTGAAAGATTCGTAATTATACTCATAATTTCAATGGCTTTACTTTTTCTCTAAAAAAAAAAGGAAAGCAATTTTAACGGGGGCAAAATAAGACTAAATTTGATTTTGAGTTAAGTGACACAATTTAAGTTTTGCGAAGCAAAGTGAGTATGACTTTGAGTTTCGTGGGGCATTGACGTAAAGAATCCAAAAAAATAAAATAAAAAAAAGAAGACAATTAGGACTGGGTCAGAAATGTGAAAAGTGGGCCATTGGAAATACGGTAAAATTCTAAGTCTAATATGTTTTTTGGTCTTGGGTTCGTGACATGAAGCTGACAAAAATACGGGTAATTCCCTGGTTGAAAGCTTTGTGATAACATGTTCACTTAACTGTGATCAAAAGTGAACTGAAATGTCTTTAACCATTCAGAGCACATTAGAGATTAGTCTTATAGGCTCAGAATCTAGGGTTTTTAACTGCTTATTTGGCACTGAATCTAACCGAATCCTTTGAGGCGTGGGATGCGCGAGGCTTGGGAAAAAATAAATTAGGATTAGGTCAAATTCAGTGCCAAATAACCAGTTAAAACAAGCCCACACGAAGCCCAGTGCCCTAGCATTTTAGACCCGGACTGTTGTCACCCTCTGTTTATTTTTATAAACTATTGCAATGTTTTGTAATCACCATTAAAAACTCAACACTTCTTAAATTTTTATAAATCCTTGCAACCTCTCTATTGTATTTACAGTTCCAACATTGACTTCCTACTTCTTAGATGATATGGAGAGTTCGAAACTTTTACAATAATTTATAGAATGATGTATTTTCAAACCCGAGACGCATGATCATAAGCTCTAACTTAAATGAAAAAACAATAAAATAAAATAGAAGGTAGAAAAATATTGAATGGATAAGAGTCAAGCAAGCCAATCAAAGCAAAAGAGGGAAGCGTGTTTGTTATGGCTTTTATATCAATTATAATTCGAAAGGTTAGGGATCAATCATGAGTCATTTAATCCAACACTGACTTGATTAGTCACAAACACAACTGCCCCCTTGCTTATTCTAAATGATGTTTGGAAAATATAAGGATAAATATTAGATCTTGGCATGGTCCCATAGTAAGTTCCACGTGTATATATAATGGCTATTGAACTGGACTCCAATTGAGCGAAACAATAAGTTAGTTATGGTTTAACAAAATGAAACAGTTTAAAATTTGGGGAAATACGTTGGTACGAGTGTTTGAACACATTAGTCATATGAAACCTCTTACAAAAGTATGAAACTTTTTTGTATTTTGATATTTCCCGATACCATGCTGTCTTATCTAGTATGAAAGATTCTCTAATCAAACAGCCAAATTGAAAATGTACTCACAACTTTAATTGCTTTACTTTTTCTCTAAAGAAAGGAAAGCAATTTTAATGGATTTATTGATGGATTTGGACGAATGGGGCAAAATGAGACTAAATTTGATTTTCAAGGGGGTTAAGTGACACAATTTAAGTCTCGTGAAGCAAAACTGAGAATGACTTTGAGTTTCAAGAGGCATTGACCTAAAGCAGTCAAAAAAAAAAAAAAAGTTAGGACAGGGTCAGAACCATGGCAAGTGGTCCGGTGGAAATACTGCATAATTCCAAGTCAGTTATGCTCTCTGGTCTTGTGTTCAAGACACGAAGTTGACAAAAACACTAGTGATCCCTGGTTGAAAGCTTTGGGTTGAAGTGTGGCATTTGATTGTGTCCAAAAGTAGGCTGAAATCTCTTTAACCTTTTCGGACTCCAGTGAAGATTAATCTTACCTTTCGAGGTGCGGGATAGCTCTCGGAAAAAATTAAATTTGGATTGGGTCACATTCAGTGCCAAATAGCTAGTTAAAACAAGCCCACATGAAGCCCAGTGCCCTAGCATTTTAGACCTGGACCATTATCACCCGCTGGTGATGGAGCGTGCGATCAGCCAATACAGTTAGTCACTGACTGCGAGTCCATCTCTGGCTTTTGCGCCACACTCGTTCGGTGCTCCGCAGCCAAGCCCCGTCGTCCTCTTCACTAGCTGAGACCTACAGAGAGGGAGAGAGGAGGAGAAATCAATGGGATACATACAGGAAGCACGTGAGAATCACGTGAAGAAGAAGGTTGAAGAAGGTATGACGTATTTCAAAGCTCAAACTCTCTAGGGCTCTCAGCAATTATTCTTTCGTTTGATCGTTGTGCTGTAAAAATGTGTAATCTTTTTGTGGAAACTACTGCTTGAACAGCATTGCGGAGCAAAATGAAGCACAAGGCGCTGCAGGAGTGCAAGGATTTGGCGTCAAAGTACGCCGAGTGCTCCTACGGCAGAACCATATCGGTCGTCTGGCAGTGCCGGCAGCAAGCCAAGGAATTGAACGAGTGCCTTCACCAATTGTAAGCCCCAATTCCTCGATTAATTCACCCCGATCATTTGTTAATCGTAAGAAAAAATGGGAAAGAATTTGTTTTTAGAACAGGGTTTTATATATTAATATCAATTATATGTTTAGTTAGGAAATGTTCTTACCCAAATTGTATTGGCGTGCTTAGACTTGCTTGTTATGAATGTCGATTTGCTTGAGTAGCGGTTAGAGAATAGCGGACTTGTGAAATTATTCCGTTTTTTATGAAGATTCCTGGTGATGCTTACTACTATATCTGTTGTGTGTGTGTTGGTTGAGTTGAATCGCCTTTTAGAATTGGACTCAATGCATTGTACTCGTCATGGTTTACGCAAGTGGGAGGCAGTAGAGTGGTGTTTGATCATGAAATATGGCAAGATGGTGGCAGCCTTAGGGCTGGGGTTGAATTGTGTAGTTTGGATTAATACGCTGCCATTCTACATTTTCCGTCCTTTTCTTCTTAACTGTGGAGTTAAATTTGGCTTTTGGGTTGTTTGCATATGGTTTTCCTCTTAGTGTTTGCATAGACCAAATCAAAATGTGGAAACTGCATTGTGGTTTTTGAAAGCCTTGTGGGATTAGATTTGCTAGGCATAGTGTTTTATGAATTGGTTTCTAGTCCAATGTCAACCGGTTATCAGAAAAATGGAAATCGTGCAACATTCATGAGTCGTGGCAATGGTAGAGGCATATTGCATGGGATCATCAATGGCAACTTCTCATGCAATCTGTTCGAACCTAGGTTATAAATGTTTGTTTTTGACATTCAATTGTCTGTAGACGGGATACTAAACTAGTTATAGAACAGAAAAGGTATTCCAATCTCTTCTTGCATTTGGTTTAGACTTTAGAGAGCATGAAGCGAGAGAGAAGAGAGAATTTCTCATCGATAAGCTGAATGGCAGTGCTTGGGCATATTTATGATTAGGTTATGCTTAAGGATGGTTTGGTGCAGAGATGTCTTCATGTTTTGCTAGTAACGCATCACCATTTTTCGTAGTCTTTCAGTAAGAGAAATGAAATTGGAGAACTTTACGGATATCTAATCTACCTGCGCAAACGCATGCGAAATACGTTTTTTCTCTTTAGGGTTATGAATATGCAAAGCCTCCTGACATTGTTTTGCTTCTTGCAGCACCAACGATGACGTATTGGAGGAAATGAAAAGAGCGTACATGCTTCAACAAGACGGGAAAGCGCCTGCAAAAGTCTGAGATCATCACTGGTTTATGATTTTGATTTCTGTAGTTCGGTTGATGCCAGGAGGTTGTGTTCGTAATATTTTCCAATCAAAATAATTTTAGAGATTTCACATGGATTATGTAATATTTTCTCGAGTAATTTATCTAGAAATACATGAATAATTTCGTCTTTAAAATATCGACTGCTTTGAGTGCGAAGAATCGAGCAACTCTATGATCTAGCCGTTCATTTGAACAACGTATCCCAAATGGTAAAAACTCGAAAATTGTACAGTAATCGAAAATTCAAGAACAGAAGCTAACAAAATCATACGGTTGTTTTCCACCCTGGTTGAACCAATTCAACCTCAAAAACGAGCGGAAAATGCGAACCTCGAAAAGTTTCAGCCAAACTAGATGTATATATTACAGAAATCCTTCATTCACAAGAAAAAAACCTAGAGCAGATGCAAATTCGGATTTCCTCTAACAATCCTCAGCAACACTACCGCCCTCAGTCAGTTACATTAAGGTAGTTTCAACCAAATCATTCACCGAAGACAAGACGATAAGCTTCACACGGCCAGAAACATACGCTGAAGCTTAAGTTGGCTTCCGCATGTTACGCCCAGCACGAATTACTTCATCGACCAACAACAGTTGAGATGCAATTACAGGCCTGCATAAAATAAAAACGAACATCTGAATGTTAAGAACAATGAGAAAAGAAAGGCTTACACGCAAGCAAGATTCAATAATGAGTTACATAAACCGAAAAGGATCTGAAAGAAAAGGATTTCAAAATCATGCCCCGTACCCTGAGTTTATAATCTGTCGCTTCACAGAGTAGTTGTCAAAGATACCCTCCATCTGTGGGTCAAGCGGTTCTCCAGTGTTGTGATTTAGTCCCACAACATTTCCCTGATCATGCTCTCCCTGAACAAGCATCCACATAAGAGATTATTTTCAATCACTTGAAGAAAGATAATCAAATGAAAAACTCAGGAACTTTTTTAGAAGTATACCGTAAGGGCAATTATCACATCTTGCGTATCGAGGCCAGAATTCTCAGCAAGTGTCTTGGGTACCACAAGGAGAGCATCAGCAAAAGCTTCAATGCCTAGTTGAGCGCGCTGTTTCATAGTATGTAAATGTGAGAAGGACAAGGTTTAGAAAGATAAGAGGTGCTTAAAAGTAATACCCGTAAGGAAATTTAGGGAAATATTCAATTACCCCTTTAACAGTTTTCTTCACTTCGTTTACTAGATATTGTCTGGCTGCAACTTCAAAAGCTCCAGCACCCTGATTCGTATATCAAAAACGTTTCACATATCAGAATCGGATGTACATTCCAGAAGCAAAAACTTATATATGACTTATGCCTAAAGCGTATACGTGGAGGTCATATGATTCAAAATAAAAAAAAAAACAAAAATACGATGGGGAAATCTCTAGAACAAACTTACTAAGATGACAGCTTCATCTTCAACTGTGTTTTTAACTGCCCTCAGACCATCACGAACAGCATCCTTAATCTGAGCAATTGTATGGTCATTGGGTCCTGCACCAATTTTAAGAGGAAATAAGGATTACATCGCTACAGGACTTGCCAAAGGCAACAGAATGTTGAATATCACTTAAGCATTACCATGAGATGGGTGCTACATAAATTACTAACTACTGGGTAAAAAGCCAGAGAATATTTATAATTTGCAAGGTGAAACACCAATGGAGTACCTTTGATCAAGATTGTGCAAGAATGGGGGTTTTTCACATTTTCAACAAATGTATACTTCTCTTCACCAAGGACATGCTCGTATACAAGTCCAGCCCAACCAAGGCAATCAGGAGTGAGATCATCTACGGAGTTCACAGCCTCCCCGCCACAAGCCAAAACCAACCGTTCCATATTTCTCCTCTTTGCTCTTCTCAAGGCAATAATCTGAGAAACCACGGGATTAGAGAAGTGCCAAACACGTTGCACAAAATCTTAAATCATAGTTAAGTGCACAACAAAACACCAATAAAAAAAGCTGTGGTGTCTGTCTGGTTGATATGTTGGAAAATAATTGAAAAGAAATCTAAAATAATGATCCATGACTTACCCCTGCCCTTGCAAGGAGATCCAGAGATGGGGGATCAATTCCCTTCTGATTGATAACGACAAAATTATTATCATTACCAGAGCAAACCTGCAAATCACCCAGTACAGGAAATATTTCAGAATCTGTAAAGTCGATAAGCTAGGATGAGTGCTAAATCAATATCAAGCAAATGGCATTGATAGCAACACTCTACCTTATTTTTCAGTTCAATGATTTTTTTAACTCTTTCATCAACCTGACGCCTTTCAGCTAAAACCATTGCTTCTCGCTGCTCCGCATTTGAATAGAAAAAGCCTGAGTTTACTTCACTGAGATGAAAATCATCAAATTCAAAATGATCAGATAATCATATCCATAAGAACATAGGATGCTAGCTGTCCAAAAGACTGCTATTTCATAACTGTGCAAATGAAAAAGAATGAGCAAAAGCAAGAGGGCAAAAGGAGAAAATATCGAAGACAAAATGCAACATTATTTGATCAAATTTCTATATATATACACCTTTTATCATACTCCAAAGATACATTGCTTGTCAAGATGTAACAATTCTCTGCTCTCCTCTTCATATCAGGATGCCTAGAACCATGATCCAGAACAAGACCCTCAACCTACAAGACAACATAAATGAGATGAAAAACCGCAGGGTAACAATACATTCTTCTATTTTGTAAACAAACGTAATATTAAGCTCGCACAATGCTCAGAAATCAAATCTAAACTGGTTCCAGGCAACTATCATGATTTACAATTTCATCATATGAACTTGGAATAAAGAAAGAAAATAAAAGCACTAATTATTATTCAACGTTACCACCAAACTAAACAAATATAGCAATACAAAACCACCAATTGATGCACATAGTAACACCAGAAAAGATACATAGCCTTATTACTATATGATCACAACTCTAACAAAATAAAAGCCAAATCATTCGCAGAACCTTCGCAGAAGATTGAGGACCCAACATCCATGGAAATGCCTCTTAGGATTCATCAAGGGATAAGAAGTATCTAAAAGGCAGAGTGGTGGAAAGTACAAGATATTAACATACCAAACGTGTGTCTACATCAAATTTGTGTCGCATGTGCATAATCTCCACCATAAACAGATCAATGGGTTCCTCAGGTTTTCGAATGCAAAGAACCTGTCATTTGTAAAACCCTAGTTTGGTCACACATCAAGATGCAAGAGGTCTATGAAATATTCTAGATTCCATAAAAATGGATACAATCTTTCAAGCATTCTTATATAAACCACAAACACTCACCGAATTAACAACTATGTCGGTCAATTGATCCGCCAATGCTTCATATAACTGCAAAACAGAACATGTCATATTAAATATATAAAGTGTAAAAAATTCCATTTACTCTGAGCGGTATGAAAACCTAGTAAACCCCACGCTGCCAAAACAATTTAAACAGTAAGAAATCATACAAACAACATACTAGATACCTTTGTTCGCAATGTTGTCCTTGCTACCATTTTCAGAATCTCTTTGTCGGGCTCATTGCCCATCACAACAGGAGTTTTGAATTTCTCAAGAAACTGAAGCGTTGCTCTTTTGGCAATCTCAAAACCATCAACTAGGACACGGGGATGCATCCCTAGAACAAGAACAAACTCACTATTATCAAGGGTGCCATGACAAAAAAGGAAGAAACGAAAAGAAATAGATTGACTTGGCGTACATTTCAGAACCACAAGGTGCAAAGATCTAGACTTTTAACCCTTTATGAAGAACCAGATCAAATGTCCAGTCATTGATTACAGGTAACTGTGAGTACGTAGCAACCAACCTTCATCAATGTATCGCTCTGATTGTTTCATAAGCTCGCCAATGAATAAGACAGTAGAGGTGGTGCCATCTCCGCTTATGTCATCTTGGGCAACAGCGGTCCTTGCAATCATAATTGCTGTTGGGTTCTGAATTTGCTGCAACCATTTGACAGAAAACCAATGAACAAAGCAAAATACGAAAAAGCACAAAACATACTGAATAATTAAATTTAACACTAAATCCATACAGGCAATTCGAGTAAACCCTACACCGTCAGTATTCTCACATTTGAAGCATTGATGTCATAGTAAAAACAATCGACTTTGTGAGTTTCAAAAACATATCAAAGTTTTCGATAACCAAACAGAACCTCGGTTACTAAATACAGCTTCATTTCGCATTTCGATCAAATCCATAAATCCTTAAACCCTAATTTAACACACTATATATAACCAATGACTGCACCAACCGGAGATCTAGGGTTCCAAAAACACAAACCATACCATTTCTTTGAGCAGAGTGTTACCATCCTTTGTGAGCTTAATGTCGCCAGCTCCACCAACAAGCCTGAAAACATTATCGAAGAAATTAAAACTGAAAAATCAATAAATAAAAAGATGAAAAATCAATAAAAAATTATAATAGTGTAATTTTTTCCTACATTTTGATGGTGCCCTTGGGGCCGAGGTTGGTTTTGAGAACGTCCTGCAAGCCCTTGGCGGCGTTGATGTTCATGTGCAGCGCCGCCGATTTGTTCAGCACCTCCGCATTCGGATTCAGCACTCGAATCGACATCCTTTTACTTCTCCTTCTCCTTCTCCTTTTTCTGCTCAGATGAAATCCAAGTGGCGGAGAGAGTAAGAGAATGCGAGTTTTTGAAAACTTATGAGAGTTCGAGAACAAGTAGAAGCTCCAAAACTGTACAGTTTTATGAATCCCAGAGCGTGGGGTTTGTTAGGGCTTTCTGGAGGGGACTCCGAAAGCTCGAAACTGTATCCTTCCCTAAAACGTCGTCGTGTTGGATTTACAGACCGACTAAATGGGCCGGTTCAAAAGTCTAAAGTCCAAAAGAGGAAATGGGCTCATTGATGATGAATATTATAGCTCAATATTATTGGGCCACAATAAAAACCCAATTCTCTTTTTCTTTTCTACTTTTCTTTCTTGGAGCATCCTTATAAAAAAGTAATGCATGGTCGAGCTGTCATGCGGTATTACTTCACTCATATTATAAAGTACTCGTTTTTCTTCCTCCTAAATTGAAAAATTATTCTCCTTTTTTTAAGATGTTTTGAACTTATCAATTTCAATCCAATCCTCCATGCAAAATATGATAGACGTTTCTAAAAAAATCACATGTTAATCACGTACAAAAATTTCTCGTAAATAGTGGTCCTTTTGTCAAACGATAGGATGTTTATAATAGACTTCTACAACTGGTCCATTTAACTCACCCACAACAAGCAAAATGAATTATAGACAATGTAAAATGGGCATATTTGCAACCTTCTCATTAGTTTGGACATTCTCAATTTTTGTAGAATCCTACGATATTGCTTGATGATCAGAAATTTTGGTCTAATAATATAGTTCATGCTATATAGTTTATCAGTATCCAGCCCCTTCCATTGCTTGAGCAATGGTGGGATGGTCAAAAAGGAGGAGAAGAAGTGAAAGTGAGAATAATTTTAAAGAAAAAGATGATGGCAGTGGCTCATCCATTCCTTCCTTCAACCTTCCTGCATGGTGGGGGACTGGGAAAGATTTGTTTCCGACTTTCTGTTAGGAATTTGAGCATGAAAGAATCTGAAACTTTAACTAACCGTGACTAATAATGCATGTGACTTATGAACAATGCGAATATATATGACCAGTCGTGTGGGATCCGTGTCCATGAATTTGCTGAGGTATCTGGTTTTATGACGACTTAGTTCAATGGACTGGAAGATATTCATGTTTAAATTGCATATTATATATCAAAGGTTAGACTTTTCTCGTTTAAAATTTTCCCAGCTAGTAACCGACTTAACGTTGAATTTTTAAGACAAGGTTCATCTTGCTCGAAAATTCTAAAATGGACACGAACCCTTAACATAGATCAGATGCATGAACGCCAGAATGTGCGGTCTGTTGAGAGTCCATATCACATCGAGAATAAAGAGATTTTGCATGTGTTTAAAAAGTTTGGATCACTCTCCATGTTGTCAGTTAATTTTATGATGAAATTTCAACTTTTTTTCATGGTCAATGATCCAACTGGTAAGAATCCCAATACATTCCATGCTCCGGTCTATAAGAAAAATCTCATCTTGTTTAGATATACTAATTTTCAGATTTCTGGCCCTTGAATTTTTTACTTTACACATTGAATGATATGCATCTGCCGAAATTAATTTATATTAACCAAAACTAAGGTATCCTTTTAAAATAATCTACGAAGTTCGAACTTGAATGTGTGAAAAGGCTTGTTAGTGCCAATATGCGGTAAGGATCACAACTTGAATGTAGGAAAATGAATGTACAATCCCTTAACCAAGGTTCTTACGTAGGCGCTAGTCGGAGACGGGTTTCCCGCCTAGACGGATTAGGTTGATTTAAGTAAATTTATTAAAATATGGTGAAAACGTGTGGAACAAGTATATATGAATGTTCATCCATGTATTTAACAAGTCTGTTACAATTTATTGAAAATAAAATGCAAAATGAAAGTTATTGATTTTTGTCTACATGAGAGTCACGACCTAAGGAGGTGCTTAAATGGGCTAGGCGAACGCCTAAACGGGTCTTGGCACATCTTCTTAATTTTTAAACTCCTAAGGACTAATCCGGGTGGTGGCCAGCCGTATAGAGCCGCCTACGGAAATTTTTAAAACAGTGACCTTAATAGACTTAACTAACTAACTTAACTAAAGCCTGCAAAAGTAAAATATCTTTAATTTGAAAAGAAAATTACCGATCAACAACTTTTCAATTTTTCCATTATGTTCTTTGTAAACCACTGTCTAGCACCATGCATGAACTTTATATGAAAGTCTAACAGTACTGTGGAAGAATAATGACGTGCATGCAAAAAGATGGACGAAAGGCATATATTCCTGAGGCAAGTACAATATTAAGAACAAAATCTAATGTTTTTTTGGGACAACTTGTACAGGAAAGGTACAACTGTACGTGTTCGTTGCAAAAAACTACACATAGTCAACCAATGTTCGATTTCCAAATTCCATAAACTGAAAGATTTGTGGAAGAAATTCAAAATTGAAAAAAAAAAAGAAAAAAAAAGAGATGATTAATTGCATTGCATGAAATTTCAGAGAACTAGGTTTCGGTAATTATTCACTAAGCAAAGACTTCCAGAAGAGGGTTATTTTTAATGCATGTTTTTATCTTTTGTCAATAGTTTAAATGCATTTTTTATGTTGTAGGTACATTGAAAAATCTCATGTTTGGACAAACTGTCAGACCTCAAGTTTCACTGGTTACCCACCGTTGAAAACCAATTTCGGGCATCAACATGGCTGATTGGTTGACCTTTTATTTCAGTTTTTAGATTATGTTCCAAGAAAGAGAAACTGGTGAGGGAAGTCATGATAACGCTTTAATCAAATCAACAAAAAAGAAATGGCAACGGAATAATTGGACAGCATCTACTAGAAGGCAGGAACAACCTTCGTCATATGTTTCATCCATTGACTCCAATCTTATTATCTTCTCAATGCTTGATATCAATCATCAATTTAAGTCAGACGTGAGTTAGACCAGTTGTTCATAATAGTGTGCTTGCGTCTACATATACGAGTTTGAATCTCCCTTTTAGTAAATCAAACAGAATAAGAAACTTTTGATTTGGGTGGCTGCCTAATTCTAGTTCAGATTAGATGAGAATAATCTGCATGATAGCATATGCTGAATTCGAATCCCACCTTTCAGATAACTTTAATTCTTTTAGAATGAGCCTAATGTTTCTCATTTTGTATATAAAGACCTTGTACGTGCCGAAGGAAACCACATTAACATCCACTGATCCACAAACATTGTATGAAATTTAGAAGAAACATGGCAGCCATATCTCTTGATCCAAGGCATAACCTCCAAGCAACTAAAAAATCTAGCCAACATGGAGTTGTCCTCGAAGAAATCGAAGGTCTCATCCGAGTTCACAAAGACGGATACGTTGAAAGGCCCCCGATGATCCCAAGTGTCCCTAGCACTCTAGCTCTACCACCTGGTGTCGTGGCCAAAGACGTTGTCATTGACAAATTTACCAACTTATGGGCACGTATTTATGTTCCAAACCACCCCGGAAACCTCCCCGTGATTGTTTACTTCCACGGCGGTGGTTTCTGTGTTGGATCTGCTGCTTGGAGCTGTTACCATGAGTTTCTGGCCAAACTTGCTTCACAAGCAAGTTGTGTCATCATCTCTGTGAATTACCGTTTAGCCCCAGAAAGCCGCCTCCCTGCTGCTTATGATGACGGATTCAAAGCCCTTATGTGGGTAAAACAAGAAGCTTTGAATGAATCTAGTGAGCAAAAATGGTGGTTAAGTAAGTGCAACTTGTCCAGCTTGTTCATAGGTGGTGACAGTGCAGGGGCTAACATAGCCTACAATGTCACCACACAGTTAGGTTCATGTGACCCCTCCATTTCAAGGCCATTGAGTCTCAAAGGCACCGTTTTGATCCAACCCTTTTTTGGAGGAGAGGCTCGAACTAGGTCCGAAAAGTGCACAACTCAGCCTCCATACTCCGCCCTAACTCTGTCAAATTCGGACGCGTATTGGCGGTTGTCTCTTCCCTTAGGGGCCAGCAGAGACCATCCGTGGTGCAACCCTCTAGCGAACTCCAGCATGGCCAAATTGCGCGATTTAAGGCTTCCGAGCATGATGGTATGCGTATCAGAATTGGATATATTGAAGGATAGGAATTTCGAGTTGTGCAACGCGTTGAGTAGCATGGGGAAAAGGGTGGAAACTACAATGTACAAAGGAGTTGGACATGCATTCCAAGTTCTGCATAACTATCAGCTCTCTTATTCCCGGACCCAAGAATTGATATCTCACGTCAAGGCCTTCATGATCAAGCAATAATAGCTATTTCATGGATTTCTTTTTCTAGTTTGATATTTTATTAGGTTATTATGTATATATTGTGCTGAAATTAACTTAATATTGAAACTTGTTATTTACTTGTTACGTATTATTTATATAATTTTCTTTTCATACTATGAATTTCATTTACGTTATAAACCTTTGTTTGAGTTCGAGAACGTCATATTTGATGGAATCAACAACCAACAATGAACTCTTGTTGTTCCATCAAATGAAGGATCCATATGTGGATGATTGTCAAACCTCTACAACAACTTGTGATTTTTTAGTTTAAAAGATTGATCCGGAGAATGGCGGCAACTTTCTCGAGGTACAGAGTTTAATGATTCTCATTCCTTTGGATATATATATATATATACACACATAGATACATATAGTGGACCAGATATGAGCTGTGTCTTCAATACTTTTGTTTGGGTACATTAATATTTTTACACTAAAGGGAGGGAGAGTTCGGTTAAGCCACATAATGGCTAGCCTAATTTGGTATTGAATTCACCATTCATGACATTCGAACCTAAGACCTCTTACTTCCAAGTGAAGAGAAATACCCATCAGATCATAGTACTGAGTGGCTCTTCAATACTTAGATGGTCAAAAATTTGGAAGATATATTGCAATTCATAATACTTCAAAATCATCTACGCATGGACAAGATGGACAGCTCTCCATTTTATGATACTAAAAATTCAAAAATATGGAGATTGAGCTGGTGCAATCCAAGTTTATAGTAGTTATAGATGAGATGGTGAAGTTTATCTGTTTGCTTGAGGATTAATTATTTATTTTACTTTGCCAGTGTTAAACTTTGTAATTTTTTGAAATTAGTTTGCTCCTAA